TCGGTTGGAGAAACGTTCAGCTGTTCTCCAAGTAAAGATCAACAATTTGGGAAGCTCGTGATGTTCTCAGGCGAAGCGGACGTGTTTGACACAACGGGCGCAAATGCGTTGCTCAACAAGGACTGTGAGCTGGGCCGTGGTGGGTTTGGAGTGGTCTACAAGACAAATATGCACGATGGGCGTCCGGTGGCAGTCAAGAAACTGACAGCGTCAGGTCTGATAAAGTCACAGGAGGAGTTCGAGAGAGAGATGAGAAAACTCGGGAAGCTAAGGCACAGAAATGTGGTAGAGATCAAAGGGTACTACTGGACGCAATCGCTGCAGCTCCTGATCCACGAATTTGTCTCAGGGGGAAGCTTATACAGACATCTCCACGGAGACGAAAGTATTTGCCTAACATGGCGTCAACGCTTCAGCATCATTCTAGGGATAGCGAGAGGTCTGGCTTATCTGCACAGCAGTAACATCACTCACTACAATCTTAAAGCAACAAATGTGCTCATAAACGCCGCCACAGGGGAGGCTAAAGTCTCTGACTTTGGGCTGGCCAGACTTTTGGCTTCGGCGCTGGACAGGTGCGTCTTGAGTGGCAAGGTACAGAGCGCATTAGGGTACACAGCCCCGGAGTTTGCATGCCGAACGGTCAAGATAACGGACAAGTGCGATGTGTACGGGTTTGGGATCCTGGTGCTGGAGGTAGTGACGGGGAAGAGGCCAGTGGAGTATGCGGAGGACGACGTGGTAGTGCTGTGTGAGACGGTGAGAGAGGGATTAGAAGAAGGGAGGGTGGAAGAGTGCGTTGATGGTCGGCTAAGAGGGAACTTTCCGGCTGAGGAGGCAATACCGGTGATAAAACTAGGGTTGGTATGTGGTTCTCAAGTGCCGTCGAATAGGCCGGACATGGAGGAGGTGGTGAAGATATTAGAGCTCATACAATGTCCCTCTCATGACTTGGAATGATTCATCCATTACCAAATGGAACAGATCCTTCTTTTGTATTTCTTTATTTCTTCTTCAGTTTTCATAATATATAGTTCTTCTTTTCTAAAATGGTTTTCCTTCACCAGCTGAGTTGTTGACTCTTCACATGAAAATGTTGAAGGTTGGTTCATAAAGTAGATCAATGAAAAGAGTGCTGGTCAAAGGAACTCTTTATTCCACATATCACATGACTCTCCACTTGAAACCTTTGTGGAATAAGGTTTCTATTTGAAAATGTGTAATAACACAATACTATTCTCAGAAGATGAGGGAAAACATGATCTTCTACACATGCATTTGAAGGGAGTCTAAAGTCAGTCAGGCGCACTAAGCATTACTCAGAGTCTCACACTGTCACAAATGTTGATAATAATCATTTCTTGGCTTTTTGATTGTTCTTTTCCATAATAATTAAAACGATAAAGCAAAAAATTAAAGGGTAAAGAGAAGTCCACCATTGTGATTTGTGAAGTGAAAGTCCCAAAGGGTCCAAGCATGAGCTTTTTCTGTAATGCTTTCACTATTGTCTAGTTATGGAGTGCCCCACACACTTACTCATTTCTCATCATTATTACTCCCAAAAGCTTTACATTCAATTTAAATTAATACTTTTGTCAGCTGATTTACATGCACTCAGTTAAGCCATGCATTCCATTACTCAACCTCACACATGGTGGTCTGCAGAAACAAACTGATTTCGATTTACCACCTTATGGAAGGAACCACATCACAAATCTAATTATATTATAACTTTATAAGGCACAATCACCCTTAAGCATTTCTCATTCTGAGTGCATTTTAGTATCATTATGTCTTCGCTTTTCTCGTGTCCTGTCTCTCTTTTATTCTCCTCGTTAAACACTAAAAAAATGCATTACTATATTTCTTACCTTAC